GTGCAGAGTACGAACGCGTATCTCACTCCTGGTGCTCTTGCCTTCAAACGAGATATGTTTCTTGACATTCCTATTTATGCAGACATCTTGGCCGTGCAACGACACCGTCAATCCTTGGTTGACAAACATTTGCTACGGGCCAATGCTAAACGCATTTCCTATGACTACGCGGTCGATGACCTGGTCTACAAGCGTGCGTATCTCGGTCTCAGTGATAAGTTGAAGCCTACGGCTTCTGGTCCCTATCGTGTTTCCCGCGTTCATACCAACGGCAACATAACGATTCAACTCAGTGCTCATCAGTTTGAGCGCCTGAACATTCGGCGCGAGTTTCCAAAGCATCCAGTACCTCCGGTTGCCACCGGTACGGGTTATTGAGGTTCCCCTGATTCATTTTCTAAATGTTACTGATGCTCGGCGCCTATTGTTGCCTCACAGTGGAGGAAAGTGACATACGCACGTCTATGACGTGGCGCTTTAACGCTAGGTTTAAGTCTAATCTCACAATATTCCGATCGTAGTTCATTGACTCTACTGTACAGGAAGAGAGCTTGGAAAGTAGGTATATGGGGTAATACATTTTTTTGTGATTCAAATATGCATAGTAAACAATATCTTTAACCCTATATTTACCGCACCTACCCATTAAAAACTGTCTTCCAGCAGTTGGCGAATCTATGAGCCAAGCCATTTACCAAACCTGAGCCTGCGCGCAGAAAGGCCTGCATATGGCGCCTGGACACCCACTGGAATGATCCAATAATCAACGGTAATATGTGTGTGACAGGGGTTAGCATCAAGGATTTAACAACTTCAACTCCTTTTCCAAAAAAATGCCCAAAGGTTTTCAGGCGACTGACTCATGATATCAACACAACCCAAGCCATCTAAAGCAGGTTGTGGTGGTAAGCATGGAGCTATCTACGCATTACGCATCGTCGCTACCTGTATCTCGGGCACACGTTTCGTCCATACAGGTAGACTGTGAGATCTTCACGCGATAAGTTCTTGAATCGATATCTTGTGGGCTACTCGAGAGCTACTTTCAGTGACCTACAACATCAGCTCATGTGGACTGGCCTGTGACTGTGCCTATGGTGCTAGAGCTAGAAGGCACACCAAGTTGGGCTGATCCAAGAAAAGAACAAAAGTGAGGAATCGGGGCTGCAGAGGTGCATGCGCCCTTTTCGCTCGAAGCTTCACTACGTGCATCAACACAAGCACCCTGCAAGTGGCGCGGCTTCGCTACCGGTACGGCGGCTGTAGCCCATTAAGTTCCATCCATTCAACCGATCCATCGGCCACATGGAGTCACGAAAATGACCTGTGGTAGCGATTTATGACTATCCAGTTACCAGATTACTAGAAATCAACCACAACCACAACAACCAAGTAGTAACACACACAACACTATAGCAACCTCTTTATCAACACCATCATCAGCCTTTTTCGGCTTATCAGGCGTGGAAGCTACTACCACGATCGATAGAAGAACAAGAGGAAGACTGATAGCGGCGTTCGTTCGTTCGTTCATTCGAAGCAGCGCCATTGTCGCCGATTCGAAGCTACCGATTCGGAGCTACCGTTCGAACGACGAAGAAGACGAAAGCCATTCGTTCGAAGCAACCGTTCGACGCGACGACCGTATACCATTGTCATTCGCTTGTTCGAAGCGAGTATCTCGTGATCTTGCGAGAAGAGAAGAAGAGACGAAAGAAGAGACGACTCGAAGCGCCGTCGAGAGATACCTTTTCTTTCGACGAGAAGAAGAAGAAGAGATCCTCATTGCCCAATCGGCAGAGGAACAAGAGAAGAAGAGAAGACCTCCAAGCGGCATAGCAACAGAAGACCTCTCAAGAAGAAGGGGCTCTCTCAAGTGGAGCGAGAGAAAGAGACTTCCAAGTGGGAAGCAGAGGTTTGGACTTGGAATATTGATCCCTCCAGTCTGGATCAATTCCTGCCTCATTGTCACCAAAGAAATCGATTGAGCCAAAGGAGAGGGGACGCCTGATCCAAGAGTTTTGGCCTAGACTGTCACAGACTGGGTGTACAGAGCTCATTCCGTGGAATACAGCCTTACTTGTCTGGGTGTGTACAGTTTGCTGTTGGAATAGGAGCAGAGAAGAAGACCCAACAACTGTTGCTCATCCAAGTGATACCGCAAGAGAAGAAGTAATTGGAGGCGAATATGGCAGGCAATCTTGCAGCCATGAACAACTATCTACAGAATACCATCGGTATTGCCGAACTAGCCACGAGGACAGCATTGAATGATCAAGGATTGGATGCCTTTGTCTCACTCGATACCTTTACCGATGCCGATATCAAGAGCATCTGCGAGAATGTGAGGAAACCAGGCGGTACCATTCCAAATCCAGCCATTGCGGCTGCAGCCACTGATGAAGCTGCCGCAGCAGTTCAGCCCAGAGAAGTTCCCAATCGTGGACGACAGCTGGGATTTGTCTTTGAGAAGCGACTCAGACAACTACGGTTCTACAAGTTTCACATGACACGAATCCAGCGTGAGTTCACTCCCAACCAAGCCAGTTTGGCGAGATTGAATAGAGTTTGGGCTTTATACGAGTCCGAACGAGAAGAGATCGATGTTGCGGATCCTCCCCAACTCTTGAAGGTCGAAGATGTCCGACGAGTTTTGGAATCTATTGACAACGTTCTGAATGTCAAGCGAGGCGTTTGCGGTGCACCTTTGGCTTATGTTACGAGAGCTAAAGTCACATTGCCAGGAGCACCTGATACCGACACTGCAGATGAGGCTGACCCAGGTTTTGGCCTTCCATCGCATCCTGAAGAATTGGTCCGAAGAACAAGACATACCGGACCTCATTTCG